GTCAAGGTTCTTGAATAAGTATCAATTTTTATTTTAGATGTCATTAAAAATAGTCTGCCTAACAAAATTGGAGGTGAAACAAAAAAATCATCATCCCTATCTAACACATAAAAATCTGCAGGAAAAATCAATTTATCAACTTGAACTAAAGTATCCTTCAACACCCCATCAAGATATGCATTATATCTATCAGCAAGTTGCATAATGACACTCATTTCTTCTAAGGGCCAAGATTTAGAGAATTGTAAATAGAATGGGGCATGATATTTATTGCAGCTCCTAAATCTAAATAGAAATTTTGCATATCGAGAAATTTGTTTAATGACATTAAGAAGGGAAATATTTAACTCAGCCTTGCGAAATGTTTCCAAAATCTCTTGCTCCTTCTCCTCCTTCTTGGATTTTTCATCTCAGCTAGGAAATGGAGGAGAAGGTGTCACCACTACCAGGGGTTTCATCTCTGGGCTCTTTCCTTGGAAGGGCTTAGGTTGGGGATTGCGTTGTTTCTTTCTCAACTTGCTCTTCAATATCATGCTTAGATACTCCTTTTTGATGCTCTTGCAATTCTTTGCCACTTCTCAAAGTAATTGCACTCACATTTTGCTTAGGGTTGATAATGGTCTGTGAAGACAATTTCCCAAAAACTTGAGACTCCAATCGACTCATTGCAAACATCAGCTGACTAATTTGATTCTCCAGGTTTTGAATGCTTATTCTTGTCTCCTATTGAAATTGTTGTGTGTTAGTTGCTAACAATTTAACAATTTCCTCAACAGGCATACCTGGCGTAAAAGCTAGTTGTTGTTGTAAAATTGGTGGCCTTGCTATATAACTAGAGCTCAGGTTATCTCTCCATCCTTGAGTGTACGTGTTTGAATAAGGATTATACCCCCTTGGGGGAGGGCTTGGAAAGCCTCCAACAGCACTCACATGAGCATTCAGATCATCTTGGCGTGGCACATGTTAGTTTGATGATTCGAGGCATAACAAATTCCATATATTTTAATTTGCTGCACTTGTCCTACAACCAATTTTTCTACAAGTGTAGTTAGAGAATCTAATTTTTATTCAATTGAATGAGCACTTACCTCGTTAACTTTATGGGCAATATAGTCCCATCTGTCACCAAATTGTTGTGTATTGACAACCATATTTGAAATCAATCTCCTTGCTTCTATGGGCATTTTATTCACTGATGCTCCTCCACTGGCAGTATCAATTATCTTCCTATCTATTGATGATAGTCCCTCACAAAAGTACTGGATAAGAAATTGGTCTGAAATTTGGTAATGAGGGCAGTTTGCACATAATTTTTTGAACCTTTCCCATTACTCGTGCAATGCCTCTCATTGAAATATCTGATCCCATAGATATCTTTTATAATACTTGTAGGCAGGAAAAAATTTCTCAAGGTACTACTGCTTCATCTTGGTCCACGTGATAATTAATCCAAAGGGCAAATAATAGAGCCAATCCTTAGGTTTATCAGCTAAGGAAAATGAAAAGGCTCTTAATTTTATTTGCTCCTCAATGACTCCTTGGGGCTTCATGGTTGAGCATACCGCATGAAATTCCTTGAGGTGCTTGTGAGGATCTTCACTTGCAAGCCCATGAAAGAAGGAAGCAAATGAATTAAATCAGATTTTAACTCAAATGGTGCATCTAAAGTAGGATATGTTATGCAAAGAGGTTGCTAATTTATATTGGCATAGCAAGATCTAGGGGTGAGCAAATTTGGTACATACCAAATTCATAATCGAATTCAAATTCAATTTGGTAATTTGAAATCAGGTATTTGGTAATTTGGTACAAATTCGGTATGTACTGAATTCACCGAATGCTAATATGGTATGAAATAGATAATGAGATTATGAATTTGGTAATAATCGATTTCGCATTCAAATTCGGTAACAAGAAATAGGATACCGCATTACCGCATTCGAATACCAAATTAGTTTATAAAATTATATAATATATAGATAAATGCTATTTAGTATTAGTATATACTACTAATATATTATTACATTATATAGGTAAATGCTATTAATAATAGTTAGTATATGGTATTATCATGTACTTATAATAATAATAATATATAATAATGTACAATATATTATTTTAGTATTTGTTAATTGTTATATGACTATAATAATACAAATATATAGTAATACATAACAATATGACATAAGTATAATACTTATTATTTTATACATGAGTAACATGACTAGAATTAGATAATAATTAATACATATGTGTCTAATACTAAATATTAAATAATAAACATAATTAGTAATTAGAATTTAGATATTGGTAATTTGATACATCATTCATGTTTGAATTATTGAATATTTGAATGCGTAACCTGTAACTTGCAAGTATTATTGTACTCTAAATTTACATTACATATTTAACATAAAATTCATATTCTTGATTCACTAATCTTAAGACTTTAAGTATAGACAAGACAACTAAACAGTGTAAGTGAATGCATATGAATTGCAAATCAATGTATTAGTGTATTGACTTTCACAATAACATATGTAAGTAAACAAGTATTATTTTGATTTGAAATAAATTATAAGTTTGTAACTAATATAACTTATCACTAATCATTGTAATTTGTAAGTTTGTAACTAATATTACTTATTATTAATCATTGTAAATTATAAATTCATAAATTATCACTAATCATTGTATAGTCTAAAGTTTATTCTAGTTTAAATTTATGTGTTCCTTAAATCATAGACTAGGATTCTAGGTATAAGTGATCAAATAAATGCCAATTAAATTAAACCACAAAATGATTAGAACATAAGTAATGTGTTAAATTATGAATAAATTTGGGGATCAAATCAGTAATAATTTTTAAAAAATCAGTTTTTTTTTTTATAAATGAATTCGGTTAATTCATTTAACCGAATTCTGTTAATTCAGTTTTTTTTTAAAAAAATCAGTTTTTAGCCGAATTCATTACCATTTCCGAATTCGAAATCGGTTGCGAAATGAATTCGGTTATAACCAATTTAAAATTGAAAGCGGTTTAGATTTTTATAAGTCAAATAACCGAATTCACCGAATTCAACTAACCGAATTACCGAATTTGTACCGTTTGCTCACCCCTAACTAGATCTCTCGAGATTCTCTCGTTTGTCATGACTTCAATCTCCTTTTCAGATTCAATGTAGATTCAACCAAAGTCAAATGCCATTTTTATCTCTGAGGATGAAGATAATGACTTTGCTCATTGCTTAGTTTCTTTTTTCAATCTACGTACTGTCTTCTATATCTCAGGATCATATTTGTAATTCACATGTATGAGAAGATTGAGGCATAAACTAGAACATAATAAAAAGAAAATAAATCAATAAAGGCACCAGTCCCCACTAACAAAGCAAAATATGTTGGGTGTCAAACTAGCAAAAATAAAAACTTCTACTTTAATAATATGAATTCTAGTGTAGCGATGAGTAGGGTCGTATACACAGGGATTGGGTGATTTATTTTTCTTATAAAAATGAGAATAAATAAAATGGAGGATTGTGGAATATTTATCTAAATAGCTCACTAAAATAGAATAATAATGCAAAAATTAAATAAAAATAAATCAACAATGGACAACTCTTTAGTCAAAAGTCTAATTTCCACTTTGATTCATTTAACTGATCATTGATGTAAAGGTAAAATTCATTTATTTATAAATAAATTGATTACGCTTAGCAACAACTTCTGACAACGTGCCTCTCCTTACTATTTTGATAACCACAAAAAACTCTATGATTATTTATTTTGCCAATTAAACAATCCTAAATAAACTCTTAGGATTTAGCCTATTGATAGCATTAATAATTAAAGAAACTATCAATTCTAACCAACAAACACATAAGTTTGGTTTATTTAGTCTAGATTATATATTCCCGTGACATAAATTTAAAAGTTCCTACTACAATTAAATAATATCACTCACCACCAACACTAAAACTGCCAAACAATAACGGATTTGACAAATAATTTTGTCAAACTAAATAAGGGCCCTTTATTTAATTCAACCAAAATAATCGTCTCAATAACAAATAGAGAGTTTATAAATATTTATAAATAAATGAAACAAATAAAGCATATTAAATTTCATAATATTGTTAAACCAAAGCTTCAATTATCCTTCATCTAGAACAAGAAACTAGCTGCTACTCATGGTGAATTCGCAACCCAAGAAAAACTAGTTTTTATTAGAGAAAAGGAAGGAAAGGAAAAATTGACTACTTTTGCATGAAGGAAAAGCTGAAGCTCGAGAATCGTGTCTTGATTCGCCCTTTTTCCTATCCTAGGCTAATTCCTATCTATCAGTGCTTAAAAAGTTTCCTATAACTAAAAGGATTAAGAATCCTTTTTTCAATTGTAACACTAATAATTATTATCGTTAGGGAAAAAAAAAATTGTAACACTAATAAATACTAAAACTAATAAATAAATCAAAGATGATGTTCCTAAAATAAGTAATCAATACTCAACTCCACCAACCAAATCAAATTCCTTCTCAATCGATCAGCAAAAATATTAGACAGACCTACTTCCACTCTAGCAATGTCCAGACTTCTCAGTGAATTAAGAAGTGGTCGCGCCTTGTAGAATAAAGTCTTCTGGAAATTTAGCCTTTAATGCACTTTTTCTCTCAAAAGTCCTATAAACATTGTCAAACATCAAATATGAGTAGAATCCAACATATAACACCATATTTTACCATAATTAGGAGGGAATATACAAAAATAAAATGCACAATTAACTCTTTAACACAATGATCATTACATTGAGAAATATTTGAAGATAATACGAGTACTGGAATATTTGCATCTACATAAGCCTAGTTTATGTCAGATATATGCCTGAAGTTTGCATCTTAAATTCTTCCTTTTAAGTTGTAAAAGTAACTACTTTAGTCACAGTTATACTGGTCGGTTGCAGCATATACTATAACTAAGAGAAGATTAGAAGTGTCAAACCACCAGGTTTATCTTATTCTAAAGAGATAGTATTGACCAAGTGTTTTCACAAACTTTAACTAAGCTTTTACTACTGTTTCTTGAGAGAGAGAAAAAAAAAAAACACACACACACACACACACACATTGTTCTTACAAGGTTTCCAAAGAAACAACGAACACAGGAATCAGAAGCTAACACCACCACCTAAAAGGGTCATGGCTAAGGGACTCGAGTAGGAATATCTAGAAGTTAACCTTCATCGACAGTTTCGAGTTCTCAACCTCAAGTTAGATAGATGTTGCGCTGAGTTTCGCTAGCCTGTTCTTTCTCAGTTGCTTCTAATGACACCAAATGATCAATATGAATACCAGATTCACAAATTCTCTTTGCAATAAGGCTTACTTTGAGCCGGGAACCAGGGTCATACATAGGGAATTCAATCGGATTCAAGTGTGGGAGGTGCTTTGCCTTTACCTCTTCCAAAGCTTCAGTCCAACCAGCTCTTTTTATAGGTTCCAACAACCTTGTGACATCACCCGCAGACATTTTTGACTTGTTAGAAGAGGTTATTTTCTCCTGGGCAGGTTCAACCTGTGCACCTCCGGACTGCCTGGCATGGTGCTCAAACATCAAATCAAGTTTTTTCTCCATGCTTGAAATTTTGGATGGGGTTACAAGAGCATCATGCTCCATCTTATTTTTGAGCGCCTTCAATTCATCCTCCAGTAAAGCGCCCCTTGTGGACGTGCTTACAAGGTCACAACGTAAGGAGTCAAGCTCCCTTCTCAAGGAGCTTTCATTATTTGATTGCTGTGTCATAGTTGGATGATGATCAACAACAGGAGTCATAACCTTGCCATCCAATGGAAAAGCAGGAACAAAACAAATGGAGCGACTCTGCTCTAAACAGGGCTCAACAGTATTCATGGCTGTGCCTTTTACATTCACCTTCTGTCCTTGTATTGGTTTATTCTGCTCAATTTCTGGAAACAGTTGCTCAGGGTCCTTATTGGTCTCCGTGTCTGTGGTTTGCGGACATGAAGGCATAGCATTATTCACCATGGGATTGGTCTCTGTGTTTGTGGTTTGAGGACAAAAAGGTGTAGCATCATTCACCACGGGATCTTTCACCAGCTTCCTTGCATGCTCTTCAGTTGGAGTATAGGCACCTGGTGATCTCTTGAAGAGGGACACTACTACAAAATAAGAACAAAATATTATTTAAATCAGCTCAGATGAAAAAACAAAAGATGACGGAAATGATCAAAGTAAATAATTCACTAGGATTTGTCCCACCTACAGAATGAAGTCCTCCCAATAAATTCAAATTAAACTATATAAGGTAGAAAAAAGTCTACAGGTGTGATTTTATCTGACAAACTTAACGCCTAATGTTTTCAAAATGTCGTATCAGCAATTCGTTTGAGTGGTCTAATATAACCAAAATCAGGGATGCATGACTCTTTGTACCAATATTTATTTCAGTTCTTTGTTCTATTTATTTATATAGCTTAACACTTAAATGATTACAAGCTTGAAGATTATGACAATAGAAAGCAATTAAATACACTTTGAAAGCATAGACAAACTAAATGGCCATATGATGTTTATTATTTTATACCCAGCAAAATGACAAAGATACAGCTTAACAGCATAAGTTGAATAAAAACTCGACTTCATCATCCTAAACCTACGTCACTGCCATGAAATGCCATGTGTCAATATTGAAGCTTAGAGATTAATAATTAAGTCGCTTCAAACCTCTATGCTCACAATCAACCATTTGAAGTATAACTTTCTTCTCCTTAGAGGATAGAAAAAAGAGGACATTGATACTTAACTGCTGAAGTGGCATTAGAGTAGGTTTTGCAACAGGAATGCTCATCATGTTATTCAATTATGCATGTATTTGTTTGTGATACAAGACAATGAGTTAATATCCCTCATCATGTTATTTAATTATGAATGTTAAATGTAATGGAAAAGAGCAGGTCTAGATACCTATATCTTGACATTCCACTATTCTAAGGCCACATGAAACATTCTATTTTAAGCAGTTTTGACCAAAGAAATGCACCAAGATAATCAAGGATTCTCGTAGTCCTATTTAATTACATGATTTGAATAGCAAGACAAACTGAAAGTTTACAGAATTTCATTTGTGCGCTCTACATCTCATCATCCTATTTAATTACATGATTCGAGTAGCAAGACAAACTGAAAGTTTTACAGAATTTCATTTGCAAGTTCTATACTTGTCAAATCCTGGTTCGACTTAACAGTCAATTTAACTCAAAGAAACTACCGTGTTATTCCCTACTACATAACCAAAATAGGAACAAAAATAAATGAAAATAATGGGAGGAGCGCGAGAGAGAGAAAGAGACAGAGAGAGAGAGAGACGAAAACAAATTGTTAAAAATGAGACACGATTCTAATGTATAATATTCCTGAAGCAGTTTCACTACCCTTGCACTCCTTGTCGAGGATTACCATAGCAGGGCCTTCATTTTGCATTTTATCATCCATGTCATCCTTCAATCTTGGACTAGGATCTAATGCAACTGCAGACACTTTTTGGAAGAAAATTTCTTAAATGAATAATTTCCTTTTAACTTAAAAAAGCCAGGACAAAGATCAAATTTGATAATCTGCAAAAGACTTTAGCAGTACTAAGTGCATGGCCTAGTGCTCCACATTCACATACCAATATCAGAATATACAAAAAGTAATGGGCGCCATTCTTCATTAAGAAAACAAACTTGTTTGTGTACTACGCTTGTTCACTGTACAGATACTATCGGTTCCCTTAAATCCCATTATGTTAATTATCCAAGTTATAATAGCTGCTGAGGTTTTCCTCCAGTTATCCCCCTGTACATTCACTTTGCAATATTGAGAAAGGGAAACAACAAACATGTTATTTTAGAGTGTGCATCAAATACCTGAGATAGTTTTACCACCTGCCTCCACATTATTGATAGGTACTGAATTTGTCAAGCTTTCACTGAATTTATCACAGTTACTAGTGCATTGTGACCCTGTTCACCATTTCAAAAGTAGTTTCAGGACAAAAGCTGCAGCAATGGGTTTTGCTAAAGAAAAAAATATTTGCAGATGCAAATAATTGATCGTTAATCTATTCTGCCAAATTCATGAAGCAATTTTGTGGCATTGCAAATAGTACCTTCAATTGGGATTGATACCGGTGAGCCTTCGCTTCCCTGTCTGTCATCTGCAGTTCCACAAGACATAACATTGATATCTACTTCTTCTGAAATGACCACTGGAACATTATTTATTAACCACAACCGCTTTGATGGTGCTTCTAGCTGTGTCCTTCTATTTCTAAGTTCGAACAATGTAACCACATATAGGTTAAGGTCAATGATCATCATTTAATGTCTCGATTATAAGCAAATCTAAAGCTCTTTTTGTCAACTTTTAACCACTTTTGAAACTCACAAGAAGCATGAATCCGGAAAAGAAACAAATCATGCAGAAGCAAAAATGCAAAAAATGCACTCCCTCTTGCATAAAAGACTTCTGGAAAGTAGCAGTGACTGAAATCTTATCAGGAGCTAATTCTTACAGATAGGTACTCCAAGAGATAAGAGTGCATAAAGACGAGAGTTTAAGAAAAAAAAGAATAGCAAATGCAAGTTGGATTATACTGACTGGTCATCTAGATTGGTAAACAGCTTAGCTGGAAAAAGGGCAACTTCTGAGATTGATGAGTCTCATGGGCTGGAGACAGGGAAAAACAGAGATCTACAAGCTACTTTAGACAAGATAAACATGCTTGCGACAACTCCAAGAGCACCTAGCTAATTTGATTGCTCTTTTCTATATAACAACTGATCAAAGGATATTCTCGTCTCCAACCCTTTTCATTAGCTCTGTCAATTTTTACTTGCAGGACTCTCAACTCTGTAGCAATCATCTGAACATATAAGAAATTATGAGTAACGATCTCCAGAATGAAAAAAAGTGCAAGAAGGGAAAATTATGAATTTGGTTCAATTGAAATTAAGACAAATAACTATCAAGTACCAGAATAATCAGCACCCACCAAAACAAAAATATATCGATCACTGTTACATGCATAAGATTTCCACTAGATTCAAGCAAACACAGAAACTTGAAGGAGATTCAAGAAATTGGTGCAGTTGCTCAACTGAGACGTATGACAAATTAAGAATAATGTGAGCTTCTACTCATTAACACTCCAAGGAGAGTATTAGTAGCTTTGAGTCTTTCTACCAACTGTAAGATTCTTTGCGACATTTCTCCCAGCTGCCCTCACCAGACCATCTCCACCCCCCCCCCCCAAAAAAAAAAAAAATTCCAACAGAGCACCTAAACTTCAAAGAAGAAAGAAATAATAAGAAAAGAAATCTCTTTCTTCCTCACATATAATCATGCACCAAAGTAATGTGGAAATTATATGCTTTTACTATTATTTTGACACAATTGAATGGTAAAGAAACTGCTCATCTTGAAGCAGTTCAGCCTTTGAAAAATAATCAAAGAAAGCAGGCAAATCATAAAGGAAACTATGTGAACAGAAAGTGAGATCATATTCACAATATTAGCATTTCATAAGGATTTTCTGATGATACATAAATAAGTCTAACCAAGATCACAGAGACCCAAAACATAACAGAATGTCATATGTGAACGAGAACATGTAAGGTCATACATCATCCACAATTTCCTCACGCAGAACTCTGGCCTTTTGTTCAAGCTCCTCCTGTAGATGAAAGACTGCTGTCAAGTGCTTGTAAGGAACTATAAACTGAAAATGTAAGTCCATATAGCTGCAAAGATAGAGAAGAAAAAGCTATAACCACCAATGCTGTGTTAATTTATAAACCTATGGATCTAAACCTCATGAACCTGCACTGCGATTGTCTAATTATCTCCACCGGATGCAAGGACAGGGAAAATTGCCTAAAGAGTAAGAAAAGCTCAGCAAAAGCAAGAAATATGTGCATTTTGTAATTCATTTGGCAGTTAATTACCAGTGGAACAATTCCTATTTTCTATGTTTTCAAAATATTTGCTCAACAGATGTACAGAAATTTAGCATGTAGCATTAGGTAAATTAGGGACCTTCAACCCCATTCCCGTGCTGACCTAGCTCCAAGAAATCAACCTTTGTTTCACATGTGTCTTTGGCTTATTAGCCTTAGGGACAAAAAATGGAGGACCAAAAGCATACACCTAAAAAATTTGAGACGCAACATGAAATCCTGGATTATTGAATGGCCAAAGGTATAAAATCTAGGAAGCTTGAGAGCTATTTAGGTTTTTTGCCCAGCTTATTCTCAATTATATCATCTACTCTCAACCATCAACTGTTAAAGAACCTTGGCATCAAAGTCAAAACCAAATGACGTGTGGAGTGGCCCAAGATCATGAACAACTTTCACAGGAATCCTTTAAACCAAATGGTGTGGTCATACGCACCCGTTTAAGATATCCAGACCATAATTCTTGTATTAGAATCATGGTCACACATTAGGCTTGTTTGAGTTTCACATTGAAATTCAACCACAGGTAATTGTGCCATTGATGATGGCCACTTGGTACCATGGAAGAGAAAGCAGCAGCTGCAGTTGCCAGTACAGTGCGGAATCTAAATATATTGTCATTGCTGAAACTACATGTTAACAACTATAACTGAAGAATAGTAATTGAGCTTGAATTTGAGTGCAAAAGTTTGAAATGTAATAAAAAAGCATCTATTCATCTTGCATCTAATCCAGTTCCAGAATGGAACACTGCATATTCAAGTCGATTAACATTTTCTTTCAGAGAAGTTGCTGGAGAAAGTGATTAGGACATTCAATGTGCAACCTATGGGTAATTTACTGCTTTTGTAACATGTTAGCAGCATAGGGTACATGTTCTTTGAAGCAGTAGAATTTCCATAACTTTTATTTAGGTACACTACTATTACAAATATGACTAGGTAACTCGTATTGGGTAGCATAGGTTTTCCTCCCAAATACTTTGAAATCAGCCATTGAAGAACTTCCTAAATTTTCCAATTTTTTTCTCTTATAATTTCCTTTCCCAAAGCTCTCTTCAGCTCGAGCAGAAGTATAAGAATAATGGATAATCGTTTTGATCTATTCAAAGGCCTTTTTCTCAAAGAAAGATAATTTAATCTTATAACAATGAATATGTTAGCATAATTCATCTTTGAGATATCATACTACTGCTCCAACATCTAAAGAAATAACTAAGAAACAAAGAGAAGCTATTGGTGAGCACCAACAAATAATAAATTCCCTCATACTAGAAACCAACTTAAGCACAACTGGAAGGTTACAAACAGATAGATGCTGGGTCCAATAACCAATTTTCCTAATTCAGGTACAAGCTTAAAGTCATCCTGGATCCTACACGGTTGACAAACAATGGGATGAGAACCTAATAATTAGCCTGTATTGCCAGCTGCAATGACCAGTATATCATAACTTGAAAATTGTATCAAATATTAACTATCTTACTTATGAGAATCTCCTCAACTGACAGGCAACAGTACTGATGGCAAAGTTCATCTTTTCTTTTACCTTTTATTTCCCCATTAGTGAATAGACGCTTGCATATCCAATGGAAATATACTTCACATTCTTAAAACCTGGTAGAAATTGTCTTAGCCAGTTAATCTTGCGAAATTCCATTCACAATTACTACAGCAACAAAAAAAATACCGCCAAACAAATAACCTTCCAGCAATATTCTTTCTTGTTGCTAACAAATTTTTTTTTTTTTTTTTGCATGATGTTTAAAGTTGGATTGCTTTTGAATGGTGTAAGAGGTCAAGACGGTCAGGGCAACTGCAAAGTGGAGTTGGATCCAAGAGTTTGTTCCATAAAATATTGCCAATTAGAATGCACCAAACAGTACAATGGAACTGCAGTTTGTGAACCTGGAGGAACTAGGCATCTTTTGAAGGAGTACTCACCACAGTAGGCATTCTAAGCAGACCATTTTGCACCTGCTGTCTGAGATCTTCACAGTCCTTCTGAAATAAGTAACGGTAAATTCAGGTTAAAAAAATTCAGGAGGCAAATATAATAACTGTCAAACTTGTTAATAAACAAAAATGAAATTATTTTTTTTGCTAAAACTATTCAGGCAGTCAATGATTGGCAGGAAGAAGTAACAAGATATCCTTTCATGGAGAGGAAAACTTGCATGATGCATCAGATTCAGAAAGAAAAGCCTATCTCATGCATTTGAACTCATCATCTGAGTTTTTAGTTCCATCCTATACAATTACATCTTAAACAAAAATAGAATATGCCCCACTAGGACATTTTATGGCACCATAAATATTGAATTTTATTATTTCGCCATCAAATTCCATTGTCAAGGTTCTTGAATAAGTATCAATTTTTATTTTAGATGTCATTAAAAATAGTCTGCCTAACAAAATTGGAGGTGAAACAAAAAAATCATCATCCCTATCTAACACATAAAAATCTGCAGGAAAAATCAATTTATCAACTTGAACTAAAGTATCCTTCAACACCCCATCAAGATATGCATTATATCTATCAGCAAGTTGCATAATGACACTCATTTCTTCTAAGGGCCAAGATTTAGAGAATTGTAAATAGAATGGGGCATGATATTTATTGCAGCTCCTAAATCTAAATAGAAATTTTGCATATCGAGAAATTTGTTTAATGACATTAAGAAGGGAAATATTTAACTCAGCCTTGCGAAATGTTTCCAAAATCTCTTGCTCCTTCTCCTCCTTCTTGGATTTTTCATCTCAGCTAGGAAATGGAGGAGAAGGTGTCACCACTACCAGGGGTTTCATCTCTGGGCTCTTTCCTTGGAAGGGCTTAGGTTGGGGATTGCGTTGTTTCTTTCTCAACTTGCTCTTCAATATCATGCTTAGATACTCCTTTTTGATGCTCTTGCAATTCTTTGCCACTTCTCAAAGTAATTGCACTCACATTTTGCTTAGGGTTGATAATGGTCTGTGAAGACAATTTCCCAAAAACTTGAGACTCCAATCGACTCATTGCAAACATCAGCTGACTAATTTGATTCTCCAGGTTTTGAATGCTTATTCTTGTCTCCTATTGAAATTGTTGTGTGTTAGTTGCTAACAATTTAACAATTTCCTCAACAGGCATACCTGGCGTAAAAGCTAGTTGTTGTTGTAAAATTGGTGGCCTTGCTATATAACTAGAGCTCAGGTTATCTCTCCATCCTTGAGTGTACGTGTTTGAATAAGGATTATACCCCCTTGGGGGAGGGCTTGGAAAGCCTCCAACAGCACTCACATGAGCATTCAGATCATCTTGGCGTGGCACATGTTAGTTTGATGATTCGAGGCATAACAAATTCCATATATTTTAATTTGCTGCACTTGTCCTACAACCAATTTTTCTACAAGTGTAGTTAGAGAATCTAATTTTTATTCAATTGAATGAGCACTTACCTCGTTAACTTTATGGGCAATATAGTCCCATCTGTCACCAAATTGTTGTGTATTGACAACCATATTTGAAATCAATCTCCTTGCTTCTATGGGCATTTTATTCACTGATGCTCCTCCACTGGCAGTATCAATTATCTTCCTATCTATTGATGATAGTCCCTCACAAAAGTACTGGATAAGAAATTGGTCTGAAATTTGGTAATGAGGGCAGTTTGCACATAATTTTTTGAACCTTTCCCATTACTCGTGCAATGCCTCTCATTGAAATATCTGATCCCATAGATATCTTTTATAATACTTGTAGGCAGGAAAAAATTTCTCAAGGTACTACTGCTTCATCTTGGTCCACGTGATAATTAATCCAAAGGGCAAATAATAGAGCCAATCCTTAGGTTTATCAGCTAAGGAAAATGAAAAGGCTCTTAATTTTATTTGCTCCTCAATGACTCCTTGGGGCTTCATGGTTGAGCATACCGCATGAAATTCCTTGAGGTGCTTGTGAGGATCTTCACTTGCAAGCCCATGAAAGAAGGAAGCAAATGAATTAAATCAGATTTTAACTCAAATGGTGCATCTAAAGTAGGATATGTTATGCAAAGAGGTTGCTAATTTATATTGGCATAGCAAGATCTAGGGGTGAGCAAATTTGGTACATACCAAATTCATAATCGAATTCAAATTCAATTTGGTAATTTGAAATCAGGTATTTGGTAATTTGGTACAAATTCGGTATGTACTGAATTCACCGAATGCTAATATGGTATGAAATAGATAATGAGATTATGAATTTGGTAATAATCGATTTCGCATTCAAATTCGGTAACAAGAAATAGGATACCGCATTACCGCATTCGAATACCAAATTAGTTTATAAAATTATATAATATATAGATAAATGCTATTTAGTATTAGTATATACTACTAATATATTATTACATTATATAGGTAAATGCTATTAATAATAGTTAGTATATGGTATTATCATGTACTTATAATAATAATAATATATAATAATGTACAATATATTATTTTAGTATTTGTTAATTGTTATATGACTATAATAATACAAATATATAGTAATACATAACAATATGACATAAGTATAATACTTATTATTTTATACATGAGTAACATGACTAGAATTAGATAATAATTAATACATATGTGTCTAATACTAAATATTAAATAATAAACATAATTAGTAATTAGAATTTAGATATTGGTAATTTGATACATCATTCATGTTTGAATTATTGAATATTTGAATGCGTAACCTGTAACTTGCAAGTATTATTGTACTCTAAATTTACATTACATATTTAACATAAAATTCATATTCTTGATTCACTAATCTTAAGACTTTAAGTATAGACAAGACAACTAAACAGTGTAAGTGAATGCATATGAATTGCAAATCAATGTATTAGTGTATTGACTTTCACAATAACATATGTAAGTAAACAAGTATTATTTTGATTTGAAATAAATTATAAGTTTGTAACTAATATAACTTATCACTAATCATTGTAATTTGTAAGTTTGTAACTAATATTACTTATTATTAATCATTGTAAATTATAAATTCATAAATTATCACTAATCATTGTATAGTCTAAAGTTTATTCTAGTTTAAATTTATGTGTTCCTTAAATCATAGACTAGGATTCTAGGTATAAGTGATCAAATAAATGCCAATTAAATTAAACCACAAAATGATTAGAACATAAGTAATGTGTTAAATTATGAATAAATTTGGGGATCAAATCAGTAATAATTTTTAAAAAATCAGTTTTTTTTTTTATAAATGAATTCGGTTAATTCATTTAACCGAATTCTGTTAATTCAGTTTTTTTTTAAAAAAATCAGTTTTTAGCCGAATTCATTACCATTTCCGAATTCGAAATCGGTTGCGAAATGAATTCGGTTATAACCAATTTAAAATTGAAAGCGGTTTAGATTTTTATAAGTCAAATAACCGAATTCACCGAATTCAACTAACCGAATTACCGAATTTGTACCGTTTGCTCACCCCTAACTAGATCTCTCGAGATTCTCTCGTTTGTCATGACTTCAATCTCCTTTTCAGATTCAATGTAGATTCAACCAAAGTCAAATGCCATTTTTATCTCTGAGGATGAAGATAATGACTTTGCTCATTGCTTAGTTTCTTTTTTCAATCTACGTACTGTCTTCTATATCTCAGGATCATATTTGTAATTCACATGTATGAGAAGATTGAGGCATAAACTAGAACATAATAAAAAGAAAATAAATCAATAAAGGCACCAGTCCCCACTAACAAAGCAAAATATGTTGGGTGTCAAACTAGCAAAAATAAAAACTTCTACTTTAATAATATGAATTCTAGTGTAGCGATGAGTAGGGTCGTATACACAGGGATTGGGTGATTTATTTTTCTTATAAAAATGAGAATAAATAAAATGGAGGATTGTGGAATATTTATCTAAATAGCTCACTAAAATAGAATAATAATGCAAAAATTAAATAAAAATAAATCAACAATGGACAACTCTTTAGTCAAAAGTCTAATTTCCACTTTGATTCATTTAACTGATCATTGATGTAAAGGTAAAATTCATTTATTTATAAATAAATTGATTACGCTTAGCAACAACTTCTGACAACGTGCCTCTCCTTACTATTTTGATAACCACAAAAAACTCTATGATTATTTATTTTGCCAATTAAACAATCCTAAATAAACTCTTAGGATTTAGCCTATTGATAGCATTAATAATTAAAGAAACTATCAATTCTAACCAACAAACACATAAGTTTGGTTTATTTAGTCTAGATTATATATTCCCGTGACATAAATTTAAAAGTTCCTACTACAATTAAATAATATCACTCACCACCAACACTAAAACTGCCAAACAATAACGGATTTGACAAATAATTTTGTCAAACTAAATAAGGGCCCTTTATTTAATTCAACCAAAATAATCGTCTCAATAACAAATAGAGAGTTTATAAATATTTATAAATAAATGAAACAAATAAAGCATATTAAATTTCATAATATTGTTAAACCAAAGCTTCAATTATCCTTCATCTAGAACAAGAAACTAGCTGCTACTCATGGTGAATTCGCAACCCAAGAAAAACTAGTTTTTATTAGAGAAAAGGAAGGAAAGGAAAAATTGACTACTTTTGCATGAAGGAAAAGCTGAAGCTCGAGAATCGTGTCTTGATTCGCCCTTTTTCCTATCCTAGGCTAATTCCTATCTATCAGTGCTTAAAAAGTTTCCTATAACTAAAAGGATTAAGAATCCTTTTTTCAATTGTAACACTAATAATTATTATCGTTAGGGAAAAAAAAAATTGTAACACTAATAAATACTAAAACTAATAAATAAATCAAAGATGATGTTCCTAAAATAAGTAATCAATACTCAACTCCACCAACCAAATCAAATTCCTTCTCAATCGATCAGCAAAAATATTAGACAGACCTACTTCCACTCTAGCAATGTCCAGACTTCTCAGTGAATTAAGAAGTGGTCGCGCCTTGTAGAATAAAGTCTTCTGGAAATTTAGCCTTTAATGCACTTTTTCTCTCAAAAGTCCTATAAACATTGTCAAACATCAAATATGAGTAGAATCCAACATATAACACCATATTTTACCATAATTAGGAGGGAATATACAAAAATAAAATGCACAATTAACTCTTTAACACAATGATCATTACATTGAGAAATATTTGAAGATAATACGAGTACTGGAATATTTGCATCTACATAAGCCTAGTTTATGTCAGATATATGCCTGAAGTTTGCATCTTAAATTCTTCCTTTTAAGTTGTAAAAGTAACTACTTTAGTCACAGTTATACTGGTCGGTTGCAGCATATACTATAACTAAGAGAAGATTAGAAGTGTCAAACCACCAGGTTTATCTTATTCTAAAGAGATAGTATTGACCAAGTGTTTTCACAAACTTTAACTAAGCTTTTACTACTGTTTCTTGAGAGAGAGAAAAAAAAAAAACACACACACACACACACACACATTGTTCTTACAAGGTTTCCAAAGAAACAACGAACACAGGAATCAGAAGCTAACACCACCACCTAAAAGGGTCATGGCTAAGGGACTCGAGTAGGAATATCTAGAAGTTAACCTTCATCGACAGTTTCGAGTTCTCAACCTCAAGTTAGATAGATGTTGCGCTGAGTTTCGCTAGCCTGTTCTTTCTCAGTTGCTTCTAATGACACCAAATGATCAATATGAATACCAGATTCACAAATTCTCTTTGCAATAAGGCTTACTTTGAGCCGGGAACCAGGGTCATACATAGGGAATTCAATCGGATTCAAGTGTGGGAGGTGCTTTGCCTTTACCTCTTCCAAAGCTTCAGTCCAACCAGCTCTTTTTATAGGTTCCAACAACCTTGTGACATCACCCGCAGACATTTTTGACTTGTTAGAAGAGGTTATTTTCTCCTGGGCAGGTTCAACCTGTGCACCTCCGGACTGCCTGGCATGGTGCTCAAACATCAAATCAAGTTTTTTCTCCATGCTTGAAATTTTGGATGGGGTTACAAGAGCATCATGCTCCATCTTATTTTTGAGCGCCTTCAATTCATCCTCCAGTAAAGCGCCCCTTGTGGACGTGCTTACAAGGTCACAACGTAAGGAGTCAAGCTCCCTTCTCAAGGAGCTTTCATTATTTGATTGCTGTGTCATAGTTGGATGATGATCAACAACAGGAGTCATAACCTTGCCATCCAATGGAAAAGCAGGAACAAAACAAATGGAGCGACTCTGCTCTAAACAGGGCTCAACAGTATTCATGGCTGTGCCTTTTACATTCACCTTCTGTCCTTGTATTGGTTTATTCTGCTCAATTTCTGGAAACAGTTGCTCAGGGTCCTTATTGGTCTCCGTGTCTGTGGTTTGCGGACATGAAGGCATAGCATTATTCACCATGGGATTGGTCTCTGTGTTTGTGGTTTGAGGACAAAAAGGTGTAGCATCATTCACCACGGGATCTTTCACCAGCTTCCTTGCATGCTCTTCAGTTGGAGTATAGGCACCTGGTGATCTCTTGAAGAGGGACACTACTACAAAATAAGAACAAAATATTATTTAAATCAGCTCAGATGAAAAAACAAAAGATGACGGAAATGATCAAAGTAAATAATTCACTAGGATTTGTCCCACCTACAGAATGAAGTCCTCCCAATAAATTCAAATTAAACTATATAAGGTAGAAAAAAGTCTACAGGTGTGATTTTATCTGACAAACTTAACGCCTAATGTTTTCAAAATGTCGTATCAGCAATTCGTTTGAGTGGTCTAATATAACCAAAATCAGGGATGCATGACTCTTTGTACCAATATTTATTTCAGTTCTTTGTTCTATTTATTTATATAGCTTAACACTTAAATGATTACAAGCTTGAAGATTATGACAATAGAAAGCAATTAAATACACTTTGAAAGCATAGACAAACTAAATGGCCATATGATGTTTATTATTTTATACCCAGCAAAATGACAAAGATACAGCTTAACAGCATAAGTTGAATAAAAACTCGACTTCATCATCCTAAACCTACGTCACTGCCATGAAATGCCATGTGTCAATATTGAAGCTTAGAGATTAATAATTAAGTCGCTTCAAACCTCTATGCTCACAATCAACCATTTGAAGTATAACTTTCTTCTCCTTAGAGGATAGAAAAAAGAGGACATTGATACTTAACTGCTGAAGTGGCATTAGAGTAGGTTTTGCAACAGGAATGCTCATCATGTTATTCAATTATGCATGTATTTGTTTGTGATACAAGACAATGAGTTAATATCCCTCATCATGTTATTTAATTATGAATGTTAAATGTAATGGAAAAGAGCAGGTCTAGATACCTATATCTTGACATTCCACTATTCTAAGGCCACATGAAACATTCTATTTTAAGCAGTTTTGACCAAAGAAATGCACCAAGATAATCAAGGATTCTCGTAGTCCTATTTAATTACATGATTTGAATAGCAAGACAAACTGAAAGTTTACAGAATTTCATTTGTGCGCTCTACATCTCATCATCCTATTTAATTACATGATTCGAGTAGCAAGACAAACTGAAAGTTTTACAGAATTTCATTTGCAAGTTCTATACTTGTCAAATCCTGGTTCGACTTAACAGTCAATTTAACTCAAAGAAACTACCGTGTTATTCCCTACTACATAACCAAAATAGGAACAAAAATAAATGAAAATAATGGGAGGAGCGCGAGAGAGAGAAAGAGACAGAGAGAGAGAGAGACGAAAACAAATTGTTAAAAATGAGACACGATTCTAATGTATAATATTCCTGAAGCAGTTTCACTACCCTTGCACTCCTTGTCGAGGATTACCATAGCAGGGCCTTCATTTTGCATTTTATCATCCATGTCATCCTTCAATCTTGGACTAGGATCTAATGCAACTGCAGACACTTTTTGGAAGAAAATTTCTTAAATGAATAATTTCCTTTTAACTTAAAAAAGCCAGGACAAAGATCAAATTTGATAATCTGCAAAAGACTTTAGCAGTACTAAGTGCATGGCCTAGTGCTCCACATTCACATACCAATATCAGAATATACAAAAAGTAATGGGCGCCATTCTTCATTAAGAAAACAAACTTGTTTGTGTACTACGCTTGTTCACTGTACAGATACTATCGGTTCCCTTAAATCCCATTATGTTAATTATCCAAGTTATAATAGCTGCTGAGGTTTTCCTCCAGTTATCCCCCTGTACATTCACTTTGCAATATTGAGAAAGGGAAACAACAAACATGTTATTTTAGAGTGTGCATCAAATACCTGAGATAGTTTTACCACCTGCCTCCACATTATTGATAGGTACTGAATTTGTCAAGCTTTCACTGAATTTATCACAGTTACTAGTGCATTGTGACCCTGTTCACCATTTCAAAAGTAGTTTCAGGACAAAAGCTGCAGCAATGGGTTTTGCTAAAGAAAAAAATATTTGCAGATGCAAATAATTGATCGTTAATCTATTCTGCCAAATTCATGAAGCAATTTTGTGGCATTGCAAATAGTACCTTCAATTGGGATTGATACCGGTGAGCCTTCGCTTCCCTGTCTGTCATCTGCAGTTCCACAAGACATAACATTGATATCTACTTCTTCTGAAATGACCACTGGAACATTATTTATTAACCACAACCGCTTTGATGGTGCTTCTAGCTGTGTCCTTCTATTTCTAAGTTCGAACAATGTAACCACATATAGGTTAAGGTCAATGATCATCATTTAATGTCTCGATTATAAGCAAATCTAAAGCTCTTTTTGTCAACTTTTAACCACTTTTGAAACTCACAAGAAGCATGAATCCGGAAAAGAAACAAATCATGCAGAAGCAAAAATGCAAAAAATGCACTCCCTCTTGCATAAAAGACTTCTGGAAAGTAGCAGTGACTGAAATCTTATCAGGAGCTAATTCTTACAGATAGGTACTCCAAGAGATAAGAGTGCATAAAGACGAGAGTTTAAGAAAAAAAAGAATAGCAAATGCAAGTTGGATTATACTGACTGGTCATCTAGATTGGTAAACAGCTTAGCTGGAAAAAGGGCAACTTCTGAGATTGATGAGTCTCATGGGCTGGAGACAGGGAAAAACAGAGATCTACAAGCTACTTTAGACAAGATAAACATGCTTGCGACAACTCCAAGAGCACCTAGCTAATTTGATTGCTCTTTTCTATATAACAACTGATCAAAGGATATTCTCGTCTCCAACCCTTTTCATTAGCTCTGTCAATTTTTACTTGCAGGACTCTCAACTCTGTAGCAATCATCTGAACATATAAGAAATTATGAGTAACGATCTCCAGAATGAAAAAAAGTGCAAGAAGGGAAAATTATGAATTTGGTTCAATTGAAATTAAGACAAATAACTATCAAGTACCAGAATAATCAGCACCCACCAAAACAAAAATATATCGATCACTGTTACATGCATAAGATTTCCACTAGATTCAAGCAAACACAGAAACTTGAAGGAGATTCAAGAAATTGGTGCAGTTGCTCAACTGAGACGTATGACAAATTAAGAATAATGTGAGCTTCTACTCATTAACACTCCAAGGAGAGTATTAGTAGCTTTGAGTCTTTCTACCAACTGTAAGATTCTTTGCGACATTTCTCCCAGCTGCCCTCACCAGACCATCTCCACCCCCCCCCCCCAAAAAAAAAAAAAATTCCAACAGAGCACCTAAACTTCAAAGAAGAAAGAAATAATAAGAAAAGAAATCTCTTTCTTCCTCACATATAATCATGCACCAAAGTAATGTGGAAATTATATGCTTTTACTATTATTTTGACACAATTGAATGGTAAAGAAACTGCTCATCTTGAAGCAGTTCAGCCTTTGAAAAATAATCAAAGAAAGCAGGCAAATCATAAAGGAAACTATGTGAACAGAAAGTGAGATCATATTCACAATATTAGCATTTCATAAGGATTTTCTGATGATACATAAATAAGTCTAACCAAGATCACAGAGACCCAAAACATAACAGAATGTCATATGTGAACGAGAACATGTAAGGTCATACATCATCCACAATTTCCTCACGCAGAACTCTGGCCTTTTGTTCAAGCTCCTCCTGTAGATGAAAGACTGCTGTCAAGTGCTTGTAAGGAACTATAAACTGAAAATGTAAGTCCATATAGCTGCAAAGATAGAGAAGAAAAAGCTATAACCACCAATGCTGTGTTAATTTATAAACCTATGGATCTAAACCTCATGAACCTGCACTGCGATTGTCTAATTATCTCCACCGGATGCAAGGACAGGGAAAATTGCCTAAAGAGTAAGAAAAGCTCAGCAAAAGCAAGAAATATGTGCATTTTGTAATTCATTTGGCAGTTAATTACCAGTGGAACAATTCCTATTTTCTATGTTTTCAAAATATTTGCTCAACAGATGTACAGAAATTTAGCATGTAGCATTAGGTAAATTAGGGACCTTCAACCCCATTCCCGTGCTGACCTAGCTCCAAGAAATCAACCTTTGTTTCACATGTGTCTTTGGCTTATTAGCCTTAGGGACAAAAAATGGAGGACCAAAAGCATACACCTAAAAAATTTGAGACGCAACATGAAATCCTGGATTATTGAATGGCCAAAGGTATAAAATCTAGGAAGCTTGAGAGCTATTTAGGTTTTTTGCCCAGCTTATTCTCAATTATATCATCTACTCTCAACCATCAACTGTTAAAGAACCTTGGCATCAAAGTCAAAACCAAATGACGTGTGGAGTGGCCCAAGATCATGAACAACTTTCACAGGAATCCTTTAAACCAAATGGTGTGGTCATACGCACCCGTTTAAGATATCCAGACCATAATTCTTGTATTAGAATCATGGTCACACATTAGGCTTGTTTGAGTTTCACATTGAAATTCAACCACAGGTAATTGTGCCATTGATGATGGCCACTTGGTACCATGGAAGAGAAAGCAGCAGCTGCAGTTGCCAGTACAGTGCGGAATCTAAATATATTGTCATTGCTGAAACTACATGTTAACAACTATAACTGAAGAATAGTAATTGAGCTTGAATTTGAGTGCAAAAGTTTGAAATGTAATAAAAAAGCATCTATTCATCTTGCATCTAATCCAGTTCCAGAATGGAACACTGCATATTCAAGTCGATTAACATTTTCTTTCAGAGAAGTTGCTGGAGAAAGTGATTAGGACATTCAATGTGCAACCTATGGGTAATTTACTGCTTTTGTAACATGTTAGCAGCATAGGGTACATGTTCTTTGAAGCAGTAGAATTTCCATAACTTTTATTTAGGTACACTACTATTACAAATATGACTAGGTAACTCGTATTGGGTAGCATAGGTTTTCCTCCCAAATACTTTGAAATCAGCCATTGAAGAACTTCCTAAATTTTCCAATTTTTTTCTCTTATAATTTCCTTTCCCAAAGCTCTCTTCAGCTCGAGCAGAAGTATAAGAATAATGGATAATCGTTTTGATCTATTCAAAGGCCTTTTTCTCAAAGAAAGATAATTTAATCTTATAACAATGAATATGTTAGCATAATTCATCTTTGAGATATCATACTACTGCTCCAACATCTAAAGAAATAACTAAGAAACAAAGAGAAGCTATTGGTGAGCACCAACAAATAATAAATTCCCTCATACTAGAAACCAACTTAAGCACAACTGGAAGGTTACAAACAGATAGATGCTGGGTCCAATAACCAATTTTCCTAATTCAGGTACAAGCTTAAAGTCATCCTGGATCCTACACGGTTGACAAACAATGGGATGAGAACCTAATAATTAGCCTGTATTGCCAGCTGCAATGACCAGTATATCATAACTTGAAAATTGTATCAAATATTAACTATCTTACTTATGAGAATCTCCTCAACTGACAGGCAACAGTACTGATGGCAAAGTTCATCTTTTCTTTTACCTTTTATTTCCCCATTAGTGAATAGACGCTTGCATATCCAATGGAAATATACTTCACATTCTTAAAACCTGGTAGAAATTGTCTTAGCCAGTTAATCTTGCGAAATTCCATTCACAATTACTACAGCAACAAAAAAAATACCGCCAAACAAATAACCTTCCAGCAATATTCTTTCTTGTTGCTAACAAATTTTTTTTTTTTTTTTTTGCATGATGTTTAAAGTTGGATTGCTTTTGAATGGTGTAAGAGGTCAAGACGGTCAGGGCAACTGCAAAGTGGAGTTGGATCCAAGAGTTTGTTCCATAAAATATTGCCAATTAGAATGCACCAAACAGTACAATGGAACTGCAGTTTGTGAACCTGGAGGAACTAGGCATCTTTTGAAGGAGTACTCACCACAGTAGGCATTCTAAGCAGACCATTTTGCACCTGCTGTCTGAGATCTTCACAGTCCTTCTGAAATAAGTAACGGTAAATTCAGGTTAAAAAAATTCAGGAGGCAAATATAATAACTGTCAAACTTGTTAATAAACAAAAATGAAATTATTTTTTTTGCTAAAACTATTCAGGCAGTCAATGATTGGCAGGAAGAAGTAACAAGATATCCTTTCATGGAGAGGAAAACTTGCATGATGCATCAGATTCAGAAAGAAAAGCCTATCTCATGCATTTGAACTCATCATCTGAGTTTTTAGTTCCATCCTATACAATTATAATCCGTTATAATTAGATAACCGGCACTCTAAATTTATTTTTTATGCACTACCAAATTTGATATCACATATGCAAGGTATTCAGTACAGAACTTGACAGTGTAATACAGTCTGCTTTCCAGAAATACACTAATAAATGGCAAGGAAGAAAAATAATATCTCTCACTTGGCCAAAGGCCTCTAGCCCTAAAGTAGATATCAAGCAGATTACTGTAAAGCCAAGACATCACGCCTAAAGCCCAAGATCCAAAACAGAATCATTGTATGTTTATTTCTTCCATCTGTTGCTTATTAGCAATTACCTAAACCTATAGAAGTCACATAAACTTCCTAAATAAATAGTCACTCAGTAGCCAACCATGGTTGATCTACGTTCCAAGATCTACACTTCAGGTCAAGGTACATGTTCAACAGAACATCTTGTGAAATCCAAGAAAATCTTCAACCATCACACTGGAAATGCAACCACGACAGTCACATTATGCCAGTTCTATTTGTCAGTTGCAGCAATACTGGCACTCAATTCCCAACCAATTGTTATCATATGAATAAATGCACATAAGTATAGCTGCAATTAGTTCTAAAAGAAACTTGATAGTTTGTTATATTGGCAATTGGATGTGTTTTGGGCCTCATTTACTCTGACTTCTTTTCATAAATCATGCCTCCTTTAGTGGATTCAATGAAAAGGAGAATTTCTGAGTTCAAAATGAACAAAAACAGGATTCTAGTGCAACAATACAAAAGAAGGAAAGAAGACAAAAGAGAGCAATACAAGGTATTACTGATATCTAATGCTACCTCAGATAGATTATGTTACCTCAGACAGATCAGCATTTGATAACATGTGAATTGAAATTTCATTTGGAATATTTGATGCTAGAAGCTTAATATCCACCTCATCATGATGACCTGAAGTCTTCCTTGTGCCTGATAGCACAAAACTACACTATTACATGCAACATTTGGGAGTATATCACCGCAGCATATCCAAAAAGAATCGTTGATTCATCAAGATTTATAGTCGAAACACATAAACACAAAGTAGCTAAGATCAATACAAATGGCAGATGGCTTCAACTGTCTCCTTAATCAAAGCAATTCCAACAATTTAAAAGTTTGGGTGGCTAACTGAATAATTTACATCAAAATGTTCCCATGTTAGTCAGCTAACAAAGTGAAGAAAATTTCCTTGAAAGTTTAATAGGAATCCATTAACTCCAAAGCAATACCCTCCTTTATAGCACCATACTAACAGGAGACCTATTACAATTCACGAAAGCTTGAGAGAGAGATAAGGATTTAGAAGAGTTCATTAGGAAAAGACCATAAACACTTCTTGCATGAATCCTAGATGCTATTAAGAAATTGGCAAGTTGGAGAAGAGGGAGGGGAACTGAAATGAAGCCACATTGCCAGGAGAGAGAGGTGTAAAGTACAATTCTACAGTTGGATCCTACATTTACTCACTAAGAACGTTAGCAAAAACATCATTAGTGAAGGTCAGCATAACTTTGAAAACCAGATAAGCCCCATTGTGAGAAACTTCATGAGAGATTATTCACATTCCATCAATACAGCATGCAGTTTAGGAAATCAGGGAAACAAATAACAACGCTGTTGACTTTAAAATAAATAAAAATGAGATATAGAGAACAAGATTAACCTCTCAGGCTTACTGGACAAAAAAATAAAGACATAGTTTTCTTTAAAATAAAGAAAAATGAATCTTGTAAAGAAGATTAACCTGTCACTTGCACAAGCTGACGAGTTTTCCTCTGACGTCCATCAGGTGAAGGTAATTCAACAAGAACAAAAGTACCTTTTACCTTGTTCTCAAAAGATTCAGGCTGCTCCAGGAGCTTCCCAATTAATCTCCTTCTCAGATATGCAAGTCTAATATTATCAAGAACGACTGCTGCAAACAAGGTCGGAGTTTTACTGCTTACCACCTCCTCACTTGGAGAAGTTGTGTTAAAACACAGCTTTGTCCTTGGTAGAACCCTAGATCTCTTATTCTTGTTGGCATCATCTAAACTCTCACAAGATTTGTGCTTCTCTCGATTCTTCAATTGCCTTCTGGCAGATTGGATATGACCAAAAGTAAGGCTGTATTGCTTCTTTATGATCTCGTAATATTCCTTGAGATATCTTTCTTGTGTGGAAAGATCCCCAAGACTCATTCTTTTGTGCTAGTTAACAAACAAAATTTATGTTAGAAGCATTAATTCATACAAGTTAGAAGCATCATAAGGAAAACATTAAAGACAAGACTTGCAACACAAGGAAACTGGTAAAGCCTTGCATCATAGCAAGAGGTTGTATATAAACTATAGGTTGATGGTCTAAAACCACAACCATAAAAATTTAACATCCTAAGATTTGCATGTTGCAAATAACATGAGAGCTGACAGCAACTAGTGTGTGAACAGCAATGGACCATAGATCTTCATGTGCATCTTAAGCAACAAGAACATTGTATGCTTCCTCAAATAAATGTAGGTAAATTTTTAAGCACACAAAATAGAAAATCCTTATCTTCAGTTTCACACTGGTAGAAGTTTACACAGACAAAAGCTAGCAATTTTTCTATTATAATTTTCCCAAATTTTCTAGAATTGCAAACTATAAAAATTCATGTGCAGCAAAAGCAAGGCTGGACGCAATCACCACTTCTAGCTTAAAACAACTTGTGATAACATTGAATAGTTAAAATTAGCTTTAGGGGTTGCTGATCCTTAGAGTGCGCCAATCATTTTACCCATACGCATGAGTTCTATCATGTCTACCATAACATTTTCATATGTGTGATAGGTAACAATGTGAGATATCTATTGAAAAAATGTGAACATCTTAGTTGACGAAACATTGTTAAGTAACATATCAAATTAACAATTCTACTAGTGCTGGATCTTTAAATAATAAAAAAGAAAACTTTAAGTATTGCATAATCTTTTGGCTACGTGAATTCTATTAATCTAAATTAAACAACTACTCTAATGGAACTGCTATCATGTTATAATTAATCTCTACTTTGACATACACTACCATTTAATTAAATGCAATTTTCATATTCCATACCAAGCTGGAGTCTGAATCTACAATTCCTTCAAAAAGCAGCACAAAATTCATACAGTCCTTGCAAAATCCATTTTCTTGTTTAATTGGAAAAAACTCTGCAGAGTCAATACATTGATGGCATATTGCTTTGGGACAGCAGTAACACATAATTCTTGGCTTTCCACCACATTTGGAGCATGAGTGTCGAGCTGAAATGATAAACAACATTATGACATAAATGCCAACATATCAAATGAGCTAATCTTGAACTGATCTGTGAAAAATCAAACCAAAAATCAAAAGAGAGAGCTCCTCGACAATTCCTGCAAACCAAATTTGGAGATAGACAAAATGCTGAGAACTGTACGTAATCTTGAACTAAACAGTGAAAAGCAAACCACAAAAAAAAAATAAGAGGAGCACTCTTAAGAGTTCCTAAAAAGCAAAATAGTGAAAAGACAAAATGCTGACAACAGTATACAGTAAGTTACCAAATTAAATCTGCATATTAGTTTACTGTCCAAATAAGGAATCAGCAGAAAATAAAACCACCCCCAGGGCATTTTATAGTTTGTCACTATGACCCTAACTCATTGGCAAGTTCAAATCGATAGTCTTTGCAAACTCTTACTGTAGGCCTAATCCTTCGCTTTCGTATCTATTCTATCCAAATAATCTCTACAACAAAACTTTAAGAAACTGTATTTTGATCAAAATTTTCCCAGGTAAGAAACTAAAAGGAGAATGAAATTAATCCCCGCATTTCAGCAATATTACCATTGATGACCATACTCATCAAATGAAGAATCTTCTGCTTTCATTCTTTTGTTTTCTTTTTCCTCAGTTACTTGTGGTAGGACAGAAAATGCTTGGGGAAATGATGTTAACAGTTCTTCAGAAGTAAAAACAACTTCACTTTACTCTTTAAAGAAAAAGAAAATGAAAACTCTACCAGTGAATTAAAACAATTTCATACATCAAACATTTGTGCAGGACAAATAATGGGACAGTCTCAGATCTGTACAAAATAAACCTTGCTGGAACCTAATTGGCAAACTTGGAAATTGGAAAAAAGTAAAGGACGGTATGACCTCCCTTTGTCAGAGTGAATGTCTTAGGTTAAACAAGAATGTGATTGATTGGTTATCCCTGATACACAAACCAACTGCTAGACTTGTATGTCTTGCTAGAATATCCCACATTCTTTGTAGACCTACCTAGAATATCCCACATCCTATAGCTAGAATCATAAAACATTAATCATAGACAAATCTGTCAAGTAAGAATTTCAATTTACAAAAGAAAGAAAGGAAAGTAAAGCATAAGCTACCACTTAGCATGTTATTTGGTTGATAGTCACCAAAATCCTTTCCCCATATTGCTGTGTGTAACAACCAATCCTCCATTATCAAACAAAAAATACTTATTTGTTTATATTTGGTTGTAACTATCAATCGTTTCATTCTTAATCACATCATCCTGAGTTTGTAGATTATTTGTGGCTAAATTGATTAAAGCGTGTAATTACACGTATACGTGAAGATATTTAATCCTTAGTTTGTAAATCATATGCTTATATTCTTCAAGGAATAACATGAAACCTCTAATCTAATTCTTCAATGTCTCTTGTTTCAATTTTATCATGTTTTTGCCTATATGCCTTTCAGCATCCTATTAATATGAGTTGATCTTGGAGCCGGCAACAGGAATAAAATTTCAAATATCAACAAGTTCAAAGATTCATGTAAAATGGAAAAACTTGAGGAAACTAGGGTAGATAAAATTAATCATGCAATTTTAAGTCCCTAATATTTTTGCTTCCCCATTTCTGCATTATCCAGTAATATGTAAGAAAAATCTCAGCTAAACTCTTAGAAATTAAAAATATTTACGAAATCCATCTCCCATTTCTTTTCCTTCTGCTTCATAGTCAAGCGGTAGTTTAGATGTATGAGATGAGATGCTTACCGCAATTCCAGCTGATACTACTTGTAAGAAATGATTTCTTTTGACCAACGCATTTGTGGTGATAAGCTTTTCTACATTTCCTAGAAAAATAAGATATCCAGAGTGAGGCAAGCAAAAGTTTCCATGTATTACAGAATACTGAAGCTTCATAAACAGAAACAAAAAAGTGACGCTAAGAGTGGAAGTAATAAAAAGAAGTGAAAGATGACCTTTCAACAGATCTCAGATTATAAAGATAAAAACTTGCAATTAATGCAAAAGCAAGTTGATCTTATGATCTACCTCATTCAATGTCCAGCATCTTAAGAGGATTTTAAAGTTCTTAGGCATTATAAAATCTCAAAGAATTTTGCCAGACTCAATCACCAGAGAACTCATCTCCTCGCCATCTACATATCTGAGAATATGTAGTTTCATATTCCTGAAACTTTTTCAACTGTGTATGCCTTTCATTCAAAATCTAAGATGCTGTCAAAACATGACACTGACCCTCCTTGTGTTGTCAATGGATAAACACAAATAGCCAAACAGGGCAAAGAGCATTCCAAAAAAGGCCAGGTTTCTAGTAGACACATATACCCTCTATAGCAGTGAGATTCAGTAGTTGTACTAGAGATGCAAAGGGACAGTTTTTATATCTGCTCCGAACTTGATTATATTTTCTTAATTCAAAACAGTCGAAAGGTAAATAGACAACAACACTGTATCCATGTCATGTCAGCCACCCTGTATCTGAAAAAATCCCACCTGACATAAATCAAGGCTGAAGCTTGGGGTCCTGCTAAGTTTGATTAACTAAATTGCATTGCAGAAAATGAAATTAATTATCATGAACAACGGATGGCAAATTATGGCATCAAATAATTTTGACAAAGAACTTGGTGCGTAATGGGTAATTCCAATCCTATAAGAAGATGATTTTCGTTTCTGCTAAGCCCTCAAAATTTCTCTCCAATCATACACACTGACTTTTTCTGGATTCCAGTAACTTGAACATAAACCACATTAAAACTGCCAGAACCTAACAATATTACCGAAAAAAAAAAAAAACAGTTGTATCCATTAACCTTTTCTTTTCCCTTCTTTTCTCGAGAGAGGATTTGAAAATAAAAGTAGCAATTCAGCAAATTTCTCATATATCAACTACGTTGCTGTAATAGCCAATTTCCAGTGAAAAAATTCAGAAATAATAGAAACTTAGGAAAAAAAAAAGCATGACAACAAATTAAATATAACTAGAGCTTTCAGGAACCATGATCATAATTCATAGCACCAAAAAGGGGAAAAAAGGCTATGATGCATCAATAAATTAAAAAAATAAAAGGAAAAGTGAAGGCAATGAAGGTGATGAAATCAAAGTAACAAAGCACAGAAAAAAACCAAAGAACAATGAATTTCCAGAGAATCAGCAACCCAAGAAAAAAAGGAAAAAAATGAAGAAGAGAAAAGAAACTCACGGAAAATCACAGTCACGAATCATGCCACCGTCGTGGCAGACAAAGCACCATTCTTCGGACTGGGAACAGTCATTCTCGTTCCTGTTCTCGCTCTCGTTCGGGTTCTCGTTCTCGTTCTCGTCGTCTGATTCAATTCGTATCACGCTTTTAGCCCCTTCCGCCATCTCTATATCAAGTCAACAGCCCAAAAAGGGGGTGAATCGCAATTAAGAAAACGAAAATCAAAATCAAACAACCTTTGCTGAATATGGACAAAAAATTTATTACCCAATCCTGTAGTCGTTGCGGAAGAAAGTGTTTTGGCCGATTTAGTGTAGAACCAAAAAAAATGGAGAAGAAACAGAGAGAGAAGAAGGTGGATGTAGATTGTAGACTTAAGCAGAGAGGGAAGAGTGAAGGAGCAGTATAGACTCTAGAGTTGAGTTCTTGCATGAGTTTGGTCAGCATACAAGGAAAGAGAGAAAAGAGAGAGACGAAAAAGAAAAGGTAACGATGACGATGAAAGAGGGTGAAAGTTAATGACCGAGGGATATGACGGGGTAAGTGTGATGTGTCAGGGAAGCAACAATCTGGAGGCGTTTTCGGCTTTTACTAATTACAGTAGTCGCTTTGTCTTCTCTCGTACAAAAGGATGGAAGACGGTTGAGAGAAACGACATTCCTAAATAATAAATAGTTCAAAATAAGTGAATAATGTTGAAATTTATTTTTGCGGATGAGATAATGCAACGTTATTCTAATCCCGTCCCACTGTTAGAGTCCCGTCCGCTGTTAAATTCAGTATTCGAATCCTATATTTAATAATTGAAGATGGAAAGAATGTGAAAATAGAAGACGTAAAAAAAGTAAAATAAATAAATAAATAAATAAATATATAATGGCTTACATGGAGGTGGAAAGAGTGCGAAAAGATATGAGATAAAATAATACTAAAATAAATAAATTAATATGTTAAGGTTTATGTGAACAGTATTTGAATATGGCATTTCCGTCATAAATGCGTGTATTCAGTTTGTGGTGAGTTAAAATATTTTGAAATTACCTATTCTCGTATTCTCTTAGGGTCCATTTCGCTCATGGGATGACATAGGATTGGATTAATCATCTTGTGTCATCTCATGTTTGGTTGTATTTTATACGTGAGATGACACGTCCTACCTAACCAAATTAATCATCTATTCATGGGATAAAGTAATCTCATAAAGTAGATGGTATTAGTCATCTTGGAATGATTAAAATATAGGAAGATAAAATTTTAAATTAATTTATTCTTACAAAAAATGCAAATTTATACTCTTATAATTATATAACCCTACTCCCATATGATAATATAATATGAATGAACTAATTTGTCCTTACTAATTCGATTCAAAGAAAAATTTTCTATATTAACTTGAGTTCAGTTCATTTAAAGCTCTTAAATGGGTTAAGTTTTAATTGATATAACCTAACTTAGTCAAAACTTGGCCCATTATTTAATTGGATTTCAAATTTGGGTTCAAAAACTTGATCAAAATCTATTTTTAAGGGCCCAAATGGGGTGAGTTTGAGTGGATGCAAATTTTATATATCAAAAACCCTTGATTTATTTTATAATTATAAAGCTTCAAACTACTCTATTTTAATAAAAGTTATAAATATTAAATTTTTTATGAAATTATTTTATTAAAAAATATTAAATTATTAAATTATTTTATTAGAAAGAATCTCCAAATTAAGGGGTGTTTTGATCATTAAAATAGTAATCCTACCTTATCCAATTTCCAACCAAATACATGATAGATTTATTTTCTAGCATATCCTATTGAACCTAGAATCAACCAACTAGATAACTTGGATTATTTATTCAAGAATGACTCAACCCAAGGATAATAATCCGAGAACGAGTCATCATCCGGTCCATGAACCAAACGTACCCTTATAGGATAGAGTAAGTCATAGATATTGACAACTCCCCACTCTCTCCTTCCCTCCAACAGCACCCCCCTCTTTTTTTTTTTCCATTGTCATATATATGTTACATCTTTCCCTCTAATCCCTTATACAGCTCATTTATTTTTTTCTTCCCTTCTATTGTAGGATAGTGTAGGTGTTAGTGATCGTATAAAATTTTTTTTTTCCTTATACTATATAAAAAGGAGTTGGTGTTGAAATGCTAACTCTTTTTTTCTTTTGCCACTTTGGGGGTTAAATTGTCTTTTGGTTGGGGTTGTTGATACATTAGTTGCTATTAGTACCAATAATTATTGCTGAGAGCAGTGCCAATTTCTTTTTATGCACTTATTTAGGTTTAAAACCTCCAACAAAATAGAACTAAGAAATAAACCTATTTAGAATCGTGGCAAACTTTTCGTTGAATGGTATTGAGTATTTGTAATAGGAAATTACAGCAATTACCACACCATGGCTAAATGGTTGACCTTTGTACTTCTTCCATTACTTTGTTGGCTTTCTGTTTCTTATTGCTTTTTGTGAAATAGAATCCATGAGGATGTTTTTGCATTGGTCCATTCTCTCTAGTATCGAGGTCAGTTGTTTCTTTTCCTTTTGGCTGATTACTTTTTTGTAAATTAAGATTTATTATATTCTATTTGCTGCAAATTTGTGTTGGCTTTATAGGCAAATTTTGAAATCAAGTAACTATATTGTAGTACATAACTGTGAGAATTGGTGCAAAAACTAATAAATTGACAATTTCTAAAAAAATTTTCTGTTCAAATTTCTCCTTGATTGATGTCATTGAGATTTTTCTTTTTTCAAATACATGATTCTAACCTTAATTTCTTCATTCACGTAATTTTTTTGTCAAACATGTTGAAGTCATCTTTCAAAACAGTTTAGATGTGTCCAAGCAGATCTGACGGATGGTTCAATTCATTCACCAAGAAATCAAAGAAAAGGTGAATGAGATCTTTGATTTGTGTTTTGCTGAAGAAGTAATTACTTTTCATCCTCTTAGGTTTTTGCTTCATTTTAAATTTAGTCTATTAGGTTTTGTGCCCAAAAAATTATGGTTGAATTTCAGTTTCTTTTGGTTGAAAATTTAGAATGATCATTGTAGGAGCTCAACATTGAGAAGTAGTAATTACTTTTGACCTTTTCTTATTCTTGACTTTGATCTTTCTAAATTTTTGTTTGATTATTTTCTAAATTTAATATGATTGCGAAAGCAAACTTGAATGTCTCTATGACTACTTGAAATTTTTAGAGATAATTGTTTCCGATAATTATGATAGGAGTTAAACATTTAGGAGTTATAATTAGTGAAAATGGAGAAGGAAAAGGTATATTGTGCAGTAGAAGCAAGTCATAGATGAACAACTTTATAAACACTATGCAGCAATTGATAGGTAGATTATTTTTGCATCTCCATATTTATTAAATTGAGAAATTCACTTATTTAGTAGAATTATGCAAGTACAATATTACTAGAATCGATACTAGAGATTTTTCATTTTCAGATTTTTCATTAATTTCTTCGTGTGTAGTTTTGGATTTGTAAACTATGTCTCATCTTATGCTTGATTGCATGATTCTTCACATAAAGCTTGTTGGACCCGAAAATTCTACCAAAATGTTATAGGACATGTATTTAATAAAATCAGTGTATATAGGGCCACAATTTATAACACATACAAATATGGATGGGAGAAGAGGAATAAATCAATAATATACCAATAATTGAACATAATAACAAGGCTCTCAAATTTCACTCTTCTCAACTGACAACAATAATAAAAACTCCCTATTTATAGACTAGATGATTTGGTAAATAAGTCCTACATTCACAAGAAATTCCCTATAAAATACTAATTTCTAAACAATAAATCTACTATAATTTCACTCAAATAGAATTACTAAAATCTTAACTTGACTAAAATATTGCTAAATAATAATATAAAAAATTTTATTTTTGAGCCTTGATTTAATATGTCAACATTGCCTCCTTCAAATCAATCCTTTCTTGGCATACACATACAAATATATCGATAATATACCAATAATTATACATAATAACAAGGCTCTCAAGTTTCACTCTTCTTAACTGACAACAGTAATAAAACTCTCTATTTATAGACTAAATAACTTAGTAAATAAGTTTAGGGTTCAACTCTTACAGATGACTTGGTTCAACTCAATCAAATGACTTCTTTATAATAATTCTCATGCTGTAACTCTTACAGTGGAAAACAATCAATACTAACCTCGTAGTTGGGACAATTCTTCAATATTCACAGCCAATCCAGAATCAATTTCTTGAACTTAGCATTCTAATACCAGATATAGAACCAAAAACTATAGGAGATAAAATCTAATTGAACTATATGGGGAGGCAATTTACATATATATTTGTATGGGAGAAGAGGACTAAATCAACAATATATTAGTAATTACACATAATAACAAGGCTCTCAAATTCCACTCTTCTCAGCTGATAACAATAATAAGATTCTCTACTTATAAGTTAGATGATTTGATAAACAAGTCTTACAATGACATATTTTCTAATAAAATACTAATTCTTAAATAGTAAAACTATCATAATTTGACTCAAATAGAATTACTAAAATCTTAATTTGACTAAAATATTACTAAATAATAATATAGAACTTTCTACTTTTGAGCCTTGATTTAATATGCCAACAAAAATAACCAAGGTTTTAGTCCCTTGTAATTTTTTTTTTTGTGAACAGGATTGCATTACGAGCATGAGAGAATTAGTCTTAAAACAAGTAAGATGTTATCAAAATTTGCAGTTTAATTAATGAACATTTTGTTCATTTTCCCTTGTTTAGGTGAACGGACAGCACGTTTTACACAAGATGGTCAGACAATTCAGATTGTGTGCTATTTAATCTGTTGTAGAAACTTCTTAGTATTGTCATGTGGCTTTTGTCACTTGAACAATGGAAGCCTTAATGGTTAATGCTACCTTAGCATTTGAACAGTTAGTCTGTTGTTTTACAAATTGTATTCTAATAATTTCTAGGGTAATCTTATAATGTGATGATTTCGTTGAAGATTCTTTCACATGAATTTGAAAATGAATTTTATTAAAGAGGAGAAAGAATGCTATCTACCATATAATTCTTGGAGCTCTTCATTTTTGTATTAATGGATATGTCCTATTACCTTCTAGCACCACATTTGACTTGTTCACTTAGGCTATGTCGATTCACCCAGGGATAGGAGAAGTAGGGAAATCTAATCATTTGGAGCTCATTCAGGAACAATATTGGGCTAAGTTTTTACCATTGAAGTTTGGTTGGATCAATCTAAAGCTAGATAGCCGATTCAACTAGGGATTGGAGAAGTTAGGAAATCTGATCGTGTGGAACTCAGTCAGCAGTTGAATTAGTATAATGCTAGATTTATTGAAGAAACTTTTCTAGGTCAAACAGTGTTTGGCATTATTGTATAGAGGTAAGATCAAAATTGATTGTGAAGATATGACAAAATTACAAAATTATATACATTGATGGAAATGATACTCTCTATAGATTTAAAATTTGTTTTATCATGCCTCCCTTTATTCTTTTCAGGTCTTTTTTTTTTTTTTTTACTTTTCTATGGGGAACTTTTATTTTTAAATGTAGGATGAAGTACGATTCTTACAGTAGCTAAAATGAGAAGTCACCTCAATTTGGTGAATTTTAACGGGTTTTGCAAAGATGAGCATCTAGAGATCGTTTATTTTCTTAGTCCATGAGATATATTGCATAATTTGCTAGTCTAAGGTACTAGTTTGTACACAATCAAACATGATCTTTAGTTACCACTGAAACTTAAATCCCATCTAAAAAAGCTTGACAACTTTTTCATATAAAAAATTTCTACAGACCTTTTGGTTCACATTCAAAAAGTTCTTGGAGTTTTTCAGACTTGGAGAAGTTAAATTTTAGGGAATAATAGTTTGCATTTTAATACCCTTCATATTCCATATGGCTTCAATGATTAAGTTTGGAGTTGCTTGCTTGAGTTTTTGACTTAAAATGGTGCAGAATATTTGGTTTCGTAACATCGATGCAACCGAAATACCAATGGAAAAGCTTAGTCTACTATCCACTATCTACAGCTTATGATGCTATGGAACTGATGGATTGGCATACCTAACTACTGGTCCTATAGTTTTTTTTCCCTCAAAAGTCTTGGTGTATTTATCATGTTTTCTTATATATGATATATAGCGCTTATGGTGTTTTATTATAGCTCCCATTTACTATTAAAATTACTCCCAGTTTCTTCTTTCCTACTACACCGCCTTGTGTCAAGAAAAAAGACATAGTCTCATTTTATAGAAGTTTGATGTCTACATACCATTTTAACATCAAATTTTAATCACAGTGTATCAAAACTCATTATATATAGCCATATGATGAAAAATGAATTTCTCATAATCATAGTTATAGTATCAATTGATAATGTATTTACATCTTTCATCCCAGCAATTGTGGTAATCATCAATATAACTATATAATGCTTGTAATTTCATTTATGTCTAATTTTTCCAAAAGAGCATTGCCTGATGTTTCTTGTAAACTATTGCATGTGCTAAAATAAAAAGTATTGCGTAACAATTGGTATAGCATTTAGATCTTTTTTTAATCTATTTTCAAGTTCAATTCCAAGAATTGAGTAATCAGCTTTGTTTTTTTGTAAGTAGGAAATTTTGAATTCATGATCTCTTACTTATAATTCCTTCTCTCTTACAGGCACCCACTCCCATGCATTGCGCATACTTAATATCCCTAGTAGTGATTACAAATTTTTAGTAATTTTCTCTTTTTGCCATTCAAAAAAAGTTACTTTTCATAATAATGAGATATGATAGCCATATTATAAACTAATCCAATGCTACTGCATCTAGTTTAGTAATTACATTTTATTTAAAGAAGTTGGATTTTAAAAGCGAGCCAAATTATGATATTGGTACTAAATTGCACTTAATACTTTCTCCATCCTATAAAGTTACGGTCATTTCCATTTTCATACAAATTGAGAAGTGTAATTTAATGTAATTTATACAACTATATACCTCTCAATTAATACATTTTTAATGTTGTATATATTACTCATGCTAGAAATAATTGATGAATGAAGTAAATATATGTTAATAAAGATGTACACTAATATGGCATAGTAATAAATTGACAAACTAACTATCCTTTAAAAAAAAAGAAAAAGAAAATTGACTTATAATTTGAGACCAACACAAAACGAAAGCGAGTTTATCTTTATGAGACAGGGGAAGTTTTCCTTTTGTCTCGTCTTTGCCAAAAATTTCAAGTTCAAATAAATCTACTTGTCAATCATGTGATATGATGATACCTATTATGAATGATGAACTTTTTCTGCTACACCAAATTATTATTAATTTTGGGGTGTATGATTATGACACATAAAGCAAAAAGGCAAAAAATTTACTTAGCTAGACTTGATCAATGTGTCCAGTTACAAATCAATTAATATGCATCTATAATCACATAAGTGTAATGAACTATGATAAAGCAATGATCTAAGAAACTCTATATATAGCTATTACAAATATTACATGGTAGCCGTAGAACTAGAACCTTAGAATCAAATAGATCAATCTCCAACATCATATGAAATAGTAGTAATAGCAGAGATATAATCAAAGGACATATATGTTAACATGCATTTCTTTTTCCATGTTAATTACAATTCTAGGTTTAAATTGTTCTATAATATGACACAGAAGAGGTGAAACGTTAAAACCAAAAAGCTTATTTTTGTTTTAGAGAGGCTAACAGACCAATGCATGCACTTGACAATGTTGGATGTTCTCATTCCCTTTCATTGATCTATAATTCTTTTTATGAACTTCCCAAATTGGCTAGAAGTGAAGTCAGAGTTTACATTTTTAGATTTCCTTCTTTTCGTAGAATTAGTGACTGCTCTTTGAATTTGTAAAATATTTTCCTTCTTTATTTCATTTCTTAATTAACTTTTTGAAGGTTAGACATTATGGCCTCATTCATTTGTAATTTTAAATTTTTTAATAAAATTTTGAGCTGGCATCCTACCCCATGTACGGGTTTTGTGAATAAAAAAAGCTTTCATATTAAATCTTAATTACATCAACACTCTTTTTAAACATAAGAATTATAAATATTTTATTGTTTAAATAGAAAAGAGAATTTCAAAAGCTGCAAGGGGGAACAATAGTGAGTAACTTAAAATTTTTTGAACTTTCTTAAAAAGTGATTTTCTCAAGTTGGGAGGCAATCACCCACAGTCAACTACACTTAGCTCTGCCTTAATCATGTTGTCTACAAGTTGTCCATTATTTTCTAATATATATATATATATATATATCAAGTTTTAATAGATATTATATCATGTATAAGCATCTACTCATGCAACGATATATTTGCACTCTAGAGTAGGAAAAATTAGTCCATAAGTAAATATATATCAAGATTCTTCTAACATCATCATTTATCATTGATCATAATTTTGTTATTTCCTCCATCTTGTTGTCAATGTTATGCTTTCATTTAATTGTCTTGAATAGAAGTTAGCATTTCAAAGTCAACAAAAATAAAATCATCCTTTCAATTTAATTATTTCAAATGGTAATTGTTAGAATTTTCAATATATTCCAAATAGATTTATATTTTGAATTTGGAAAACACTACCAAATCGACCTTATTTTGACATAATGATTACATTTTGGTTTAATAGCACTTTACCTTCCCAAGTTTTAAAACTATACATTTTTCCTGCTAAGATGAATAGTGTTTGTACATTTTATTTTGACCAACTCTATGAATACTTTTCTTCTTCGTCCTTTCCTAGCTTGTCAATGGCCAATTGTTAAACTTTTACATTTTCTTGATACATATTCATCACAATGTTTAACTACTTCATGCGGTTATCTTGGGCAGCAGTTTAGTTAACTTTTTTTTTTTTTTTTTTGAAAGAGAATTTGCATGTGTATTTATGTATGCAAATGTGTCCCTGAAAAGAAATATGTGTGTTTTTATGTGTATTTTTTTTTATTCTGTGTTAAACAAATATAAATAAGGAGTACTACTCCCTTACATTAGATCATTCCAACCGGCGAAGAGCCGCAACTCCTAACCTATCTAAATGAAATGCTCCTCTCGCAATTTGGGGTAAGGCTGAAGCTGCCAAGTAGATCTCCTCCCGGCCATGCCGACACCCTTCACTGGCCAATATATCTGCCACCTGGTTAGCCTGGCGATAACAGTGGCGAACTCGTGGAAAATGATGCAACAAACCAAACAACTGATAAACCTCCTTATAAATACTCCAAGGGCAACGAGATGTCCGATTTAAAACCTGCACTAACACCAAGGAATCCAGCTCAACATCAAATGAATCAGAACCCCGCTGGAGGCATAACCTGACCCCAAATAGTAGAGCGCTGGTCTCAGCCTGCATACTCGAAGCTATCCCAAAATTACACGAAAACGTCAGGACCAGCCTACCACTAGCCTCCCGAAGCACCCCCCCACCCCCACTCTCCCCAGGGTTACCCTTGGAACACCCGTCTGTGTTGAGCTTGAGGCCCCCATGAGAGGGCCGTACCCATTTAACCAGCATGTAAGACCTGGCTGCATTCCAACGAGAAACCTCCAGATAAAATTCTACCCAAGATATTGACGAGACCCTGCACTCCGGAAACTGTACCCTAAAAAAACTGTAAAAGATCAACAACAATACCATGACATAGCTGGACCCCCTCGATCTTCTGACCATCATATTTCATGCCATTCTTAGCCTTCCATATGTGCCAGCAAATCAACAAGGGCGTAACAAGATGAATAAACTTCAGAAACTTATTTCCTCGCTTCCCCTGCCACCAGGCCGCCATACATACGCGAAAGGCAAGCCCAGTCCAGGCAACTCCAACCGAATCCCCAAAGAAGTGCCACACTTGTCGCGCCATATCCCCAGTAGCAAACACATGCTCCGCAGTTTCGACCTCAGGTGAAGAACAACACACACATCGCGACGGTCCATGAATCCCCAACTTCCATAAGGTCCCGTCTAAGGGGAGACGATCCCGCAGCAGGCGTAACAGGAAGAATGAAATTCTCAATGGCACACCTCGATGCCAAATACGTTTGAATAGCTGCGAGGGGGAGGACTGACGTCGGACCAAGTTGAAAGCTGACTTTATTGTGAAACATCCCGAATGCTCTGGTCTCCAAACCATGAGGTCAGGCAACTGCCCGGCAGGTGGGTCAACTCGAACAATCTCAGCGACTATCTCCGAAGGCACCCATGTGCAATACTTCTGACATCCCAGGTAGCCTGTTGCACAAAATCCACAACCTTATGGTCGGAGACGCTCTCCAACCGGTCTGACAAACCTCCTGAACCAAGCCAATTGTCGAACCAAAAATTTGAACTCCCGGAACGAACAATCCATCCGATATGCCTCTCAACAATATTCCGCACCTTCACCATCCGTGTCCACACCTCTGAACCTTTGCCATCAAACACCAGATTCGGGTGCACCGCCCGACAGAACTTAGCTTGCATGAACTCAACCCACAAGGATGTTTTTGGCCGAAAATTCCACCACAACTTGATAGAGAAAGTTTTGTAGACATCCTCCAATTGGCGCAAGCCAACCCCCCTGCTTCTTGTGACACACACAGGTCCTGCCAGCGAATCCAATGATACTTGGGACCCCCCTCTGAAGCTCCCCAAAGGAAATTAGCAAACATGCCCTCAAGCTCTTGGAAAATAGCTTTGGGAGGAGAAGCCGCCATTAACAGATGAATCGGCATAGATGATAGGACATGTTTCAACAACACTATCTTCCCTCCCTGAGACAACACCCTGTTCTGCCAGGACTGAATACGAAGAAGGACTGCTTGACACAAACCCCCAAAATACTCTTTCTTCCGGCGCCCGCAATAAAGGGGGAACCCTAGATATTTAATCGGGAAAGGCTTATACATGAAACCAGTTAACCTCTGAATGGCCATCTTCCTGGATAGACCTACCTTTGGGTGCACCAAGAAACAACTTTTCCCCGCATTGATCCGTTGCCCAGAAACAGCCTCATAGATTGTCAAAACCCGCTTCACTAACTTTAAGGATCTCGCAGTCGCACTGGAGAAAACAAGCACATCATCCGCATATCCTAAGTGAGTCACTCGAGGGCAACCCCTTGGAACGGAAAACCCCTGAAACCCTCGGAAACACGGCAAACTATTCAGCGACCTCGACAACACCTCGGCTCCAATGATAAACAAAGCAGGGGAGAGCGGATCCCCTTGGCGTAACCCCCGGGCTGACTTAAAGAAGCCAAACAAAGCCCCATTGACAACCACTGAAAACCAGACATTCGAAATGAGCCGCCAAACCATATCAATCCACTGCTCTCCAAACCCAAAAGCCCTAAGCACATTGATCAAAAAAGGCCATACTACCCGGTCATAAGCTTTCATCATGTCCAACTTCAATGCCACATTCCCTCCCCTTACCTTGCTACCCATATTAGACATTAATTCCTGAGCTAGCAGATAATTATCCGAAATTAACCGCCCCCGAACGAAACCACTTTGATTCGTAGAAATTATCTTGGGAAGGATAGGCGCAAGTCGAGCCGCTAGAATCTTAGACAAAATCTTGTTCACAAAGTTACACAAACTGATCGGGCGAAACTCAGAAAAACACTTTGGACGTGCTACCTTGGCCAATAGAATTATGGAGGTAGCAGTAACCCGTCGTGGAAGCTCCTCACCACAGAAAAAGCTTTGCACCACCCTATACACATCTCTGCCAATTATATCCCAGGAAGAGGTAAAGAATTTCCCAGTGAACCCATCCGGCCCGGCGGCACTATCCCCGTCCATCACAAAGACCACGTCCCGCACTTCCTCAAAGGATGGAATATTCTGCAACTGCTCATTTTCATCCTCCGCCAATAACTTTGGGATGACCCCAAGTACCTCTGAGTTTGCTGGAGCCTCCTCCATCGAAAAAAGAGAGGAGAAATACTTAATTGCTTCAGCCCCAATACGCGCATCCTCAGTCACCCACTCTTGATTGGCATCATGGACCCCATGAATCACTGCTTGCATGCGCCGTTGCTTCACTACCGAGTGGAAAAAACTGGTGTTCCTATCCCCCAACTGCAACCATTTGACTCTAGACCTTTGCTTCCATAGGGCCTCCTCCATGGCCAACGCACGACTAAGCCGAGCCTGGGCCTGATGTAACTGCAGTTGATCGTTCTCAGAACCCCCTCCTAACATACATTGGTCCAATCTAGCCACTTCCGCCTCTGCCTTCCTAACATTGTCAGAGAAATTCCCAACTCTCTCTCTATTCCACGCTTGAATACTCCTCCTTACACGTTGTAACTTTGAACAAAGGACGTGCAACGGGGGTCCCTCACACTCCTGCTCCCAAGACTGCTTCACCACCCCCAAGAACTCCTCATGGTCAGCCCAGGCGTTAATGAACCTAAAACACCGAGGTTTGCTATCCAACCGGGTAGATACCGCCATGAGCAACGGGGCGTGATCCGAAGGGTGTCGCGCCAAATGATCAACTGTGACAGAAACATGTAAATCCATACATGCCTCATTCAGTAAGATACGATCCAATCGCTTCCAAATCCTCGCTCTACCGTGGCGGTTATTACACCAAGTAAAGTTCGACCCTGAGAAGCCCCCATCAAACAAACCCGCAGAGGCCATAAAATCAACAAAATCTCTAGCCTCCGCCACCCTAAAAGGCCTCCCCCCTCTTTTTTCCCACGGTTCAACGACCACATTGAAATCTCCAACAACAATTCAAGGCCTCTGATGCGGCTGACAATGCAACAACCCGTCCCAAAGAACCCTCCTTTCCTCCCCCGTAGAGGCAGCATGAACAGCAGTAACAGTAAGTGGAGCTGGCAATTGAGGATGACAAATTTCCAGTGATAAAAATTGATCCCCCTCAGTCGTCACAAAACAACCAAAAGGTAGGTTATAGAACACCCACAACAACCCCGACGAATGAGTTCGAATACAATCAAATCCTAATCTAATACGAAACTCCTCAGCACGAGACACGTTAACATGAGATTCACATACCACAAGTAATTGGAGCTTATTTGAGACTACCATATGTTTTAATTTCCTAAAATGAGAGGCCTTAGCAAGACCCCTTACATTCCAAAATAATGTATTAATCATCAGAACGGGATGGACACAGCTCATGAGCTCTTACCGTAGATCGAAGCTCCCTATCCGAAGGAAATTTGGCCCGCCGCCCTTTAGCTCTAGTCTTGGCCGTCTGAAAATTATCATCAACTACTTGAAAAGGGTGCTCCACTAGCTGGGCCATGTGAAGCCTTTCATCTGCCAATCCTATTCCTCTTGGAGATATATTCCCTGCTGCCGTGCAGCCCTCTACATCAGGTTCGTCAGACACATAACCTTCCTGCACCACTACACTGCTAGGCACTTCCTCACCACGCACCAGCCCTTGCTCCACCTCCAGCACAACCTCTAGCATCCCATGTTGCTGAACCAAGACCTGACCACCAACAGGCAACACCTCACCCAAAACAGCCTCCTGGTTTGCCGCAACATCACCCCCACCCTGCACAGCTCGGCCTACAGCACCATCCACCTCTCCCTCCACAAGTACCACTTCAATCCGAGGCCCATCGCCCCCCTCCTCACTGCTTTGTTCGGTAACCACCAAATCTGCAATTCGCTCCAACTCTGCTGCAACCGCGGTCTGCATTGCAACATCAACTAGCGACTCCATCTCTCCTTGGTGGCCTGCCACCCCTGCCCCCTCACCTCGTTGCTGGCTATGCACAGCAGCAAGAGGCAAAGAGGAAGGCACAAGCCGCGCAGCATCCTGGAGATCCATGGTTTCCTGCTGTCTTGGCGGCTCCTCCAAAACGACAACCTCATCCTCAGAATCTGCCGCATCCGTTATAATCTTGTCGCGGGCGCACCCCCCAGGAGGGGGCCTGACCTGGGCATCACCCTGCCCAACGTCAGCATAAGATGGTGACGCCCCACCCAGCAGTATCACCTCATGATGCGAGCCCAACGAATTGCGCACAAGGGTCGTTCCCTTTGCGACAGGAGGCTCTGCCGCTAGCCCAGCCACACCAGGATCTAGCTCCCCCCACTAGGAGCCTCCTGCGTTACGGCCTTATCCTCTGCTTCCCCAAAAGCCTGGACCGAAGGAGAATCCCGCACCCTCTTCGCAGGCCTCAAGGCTGGCTGTAAAACGTGACACGCATCCACCCGATGACCCTGGCGATAGCAGTGTGAACAATAGCTAGGCAAATTTTCTGGCCGCAGCTCTTGCCAGAACCCTTCATGGCCACCATTCCCAATCCAAACCCGAGGAGGTAAAGGCTTCAGCAGGTCCACCTCAACGCAGACCCTAGCCACACTCGGCCTCGAGACAGCCATGGTAGCGGCGTCGACCAGCAAAGGAACGCCCACCAAGCCTGCGATTTGGAACAAAGCTTCTTTGTGGAAAAAATGCAGAGGCAACTTGGGCAATTGTAACCACACCGGAACCACCGAAGGTTCACGATCAACATGAAAAGCTGGCGACCATTTAAAAACTCTCATTGGGAAGCTCTGGACGTACCACAACCCCCTGGACCAAAATCTGTGAAAATCTGCTTCATTCTGAAATTGAAAGAGTACATGGCGGCTATCAAGCAAACCCACCGGGACTGCTTCATGCAAATCAAGCTTGAGGAGGAACCGCCGAATCTCCTCCAACTTAGGCCTGCCTCTTGAGAATTTCCCTACCAACGCAAAGCGATATGGGACAGCAAGTCTCTCCAGGGAGTCTTGTGAAAAAAGAACGGCTGGTTCTCCCTTGTGAGTGGTAAAGGATGTTTGGATAGAAAGCTGCGGCGTGGACGAGTTATTAGAGAAAAGGTCCGCAAACGATTTCCGAGTGAAGGTTGGAGGCGAGGAAGAAGAAGGAGGCCCCCCAGCGGGGGGCTGGAGGGCTGCCATGGACGAACAGCCCTCGCCGGCAAAAGCAATGAGAGGCAGGGCGGCAAAAACCCTAGAGAGCGTTTTCCAAACCAGGTTACTGTTTTTATGTGTATAATAGCAGTTTAGTTAACTTATTTTCTACCCATATGTAATATATTATAGTACTAATATGTATGTATATTGTAATTTAAAACAAGCAATGTGATAGTTTATTGTGAAAAAAGAATGAATTTGCTGTGTTAAACTATTTGATTTTTTATTTGTCACATGTTGCATAGTGTTTATAGAAATGCAATGGATACTCATTTAGATTTCACATAGTGTCAGCAAAGTGAGTTTTATGCTTTTACATTGAATTTTTGGCTAAATATTCAAAAGAATGATAATGCAAATGTTACACACACACATACATATATATTTCTGGTCCCAAAATATTGACTAACAAGAACAAAAGGGTTCTTAGCAATCCAATACAGACAAATAACAAAGCAAAAAAGAAATGAAATAGGAACACAGGAATTTACGTGATTCAATCAAATTAACCTACGTCCACGGGTAGAGAAGTAGTAGATTTACTATAATAGAAAAAGGGTACAAAAATCTAGGAAATAATTCCAAAACTCAAAGGCACGTGAAACTGAAAACACAAAAGAGTCAAAATAACACAAAATGTTTAACAACCGATGTAGACAAAGAAAATTTATTTAATTTATTTAGTCAAGATTTATTTAAATTAAATTGATCTTGATTAAATTAAATTAAATTATAGAAGTCTATCATGTTTTGGACTGGCAAATTGGGCCAATATTATATGGGCTATTAAATCAAATTAAATTCATAATGTCCATTTAAGTTGGAGTGAATTAATTGATTTATTAATTTATTAATTTACCATAGATTATTTGGGTTGGCCCACTATTTAAGCCCAAGTTAAATAGGTTTCTTGAGTTACAAGTTATCCAAAATGCAGGAAGGCTCTGAGTTTTTTTGAAAATTTAGCCTACATATTTTGGCTATACATAGAGGTTTTCCCTCAAGGCAAAAAGGACACTAAAAAAAATTACTAACTTTCGGAGAAACTCTATCAAATCCTCTCAAGAGATTTCTTCCTCTATTCCAAGTCCAAATCAAGCCAAATAATCCTCCTGCCATTCGTGTTGAAGACTTAAGAGTTCCAAGTATTCGACGTCATTATCAAATCAATCGATTTCTACGCCGAAATTGTAGGAAACACTCTTTCGATCAGAGAATAAGCCTTTTGGGCCCTTCGATTGAACTCATTCGAAGAAAAGAATCACGGGATTAAATTCTTTGGTTCAAGAATTTTCAGAAGTTGTAACCCACTTATTGTTTGACTTAATAAATTTGATATTTGTGCAAGTTTTCTTCTCTTTTATTTTAGGCAACAAAATTTTTGTATACAAATTTCTCGTACGTCCAGTGGGACTATCTCTACCTCTCATCTCTTTTCTTCCAACAACTTACCTGTTTCAAAAGTCAATTGAGTCCAAGAAGTAAACTTTGCCCTTGAAAGTGTAGTTGCCGGTATCCCAACAATTCAAGAGATGCGATACACTGCACCTATGATGAGGAGTAAGGCCAAGAAGTTAGCAGAGAAGGTTAAGGTGAATGTTGTGGTTGAAGAAACAAACCTGGAGATGCTTCCTAGCAGGAAAGGAGTCCATGATAAATCTATTGATAGCCCAAGTGAGTCGGCTGCCTCTGTGGTAATGCTCGCCATGATGACCAACACCATAACTATGGAAGATCAAATTTCGAATCTAGCCAAAATTGTTGAAAGGCTAGTAGGGCATGCGCAAGGTCAAGATGCCAAGATAGTCAAACTAATGGTTATGGTGGAAAATATAGGCAAAAATAGTCTTAGTATGTCCAAACAGAAATTCAAAGTGCAAGATGAAGGTGACTCATCATCAATGGAGAAAGAGAAAGAGGATGCCAAGCCACAAAGAATGAAAGAGTTTTCAATCTTCCCCGATGGCACCATTCATGTCGATAATCTAAAGGAATTTAAAGAAGGTACAATCAAGGACAAGATTGTTGAAAGTACTAAGTCGTATAACAGTTATACCAAACCTTACACCACAAGAGTGGAAAGTTTGAAAATGCCTGTGGAATATTAACCTCCAAAATTTCAATAATGTGATGGCAAGGACAATCCTAAGCAACATATTGCACACTTTGTGGAAACCTGTAACAATGCTGGCACTGATAGTGACTTGCTTGTTAAGCAATTTGTTCGCTCATTGAAAGGTAATGCCTTTGATTGGTATACAAATCTGAAACCTGGCACCACTGACAGTTGGGAGTAGTTAGAGCATGAATTTCTTAATTGCTTCTATAGCACAAAGAAAACTGCTAGCATGATTGAATTCTCTAATACACGTCAATGAAAAATGAACCTGTCATTGATTTTATAATTCATTGGAGGAATTTGAGTTTAAATTGCAAAGATCAAATTTCTGAATCTTCCGCGATCGAGATGTGTATTCAAGGTATGCACTGGGGACTTAGATACATCTTACAAGATGTGCAACCAGAAACATTTGATGAACTATCTACAAAAGCCCACAAGGTAAAAATCAATCTTGATGGACAAGAGCCGCCAGTTCCTGACTCTCGCAATGCTAAGGAGAGACAAGAAATGAGGAAATGAGGCAAGTCACCAGCCAAAAATGAAAAGAAGGAGGCCATGGCTACAAAGATAA